AGAGACACCAATTGGCCATTTCCCCCACACATCCCGACTGGAAATCGAACCCTCGACCCTTCATCTTCTAATACATATGCATGTAAATAACAGATGTATTTCACACTTTTAAAAGACTTTAACATTGTTTACTTATCAGTTTCCCCTCTGTACATACATTCACAAGCTCCAACACTCCCCTTGGGTAGAAGAATGTTAAAAATCTGGTATACACATCCCACATCTTTCTCCATGTTCATACAATTATATATATACAATTGGCTTTGATTCCTATTTTTAAAAATTTAAATTTCACCATAAATAAATATTTATAACTAATAAGAAATATATTTTAAAAGTACACAATTGTGTAAATACATGAATTAATTTTAAATCCTTTTGCAAACTCATCTCTCCATCTTTCCTCCTTCCTGAAGATACCACATTTCTGAGTTTTATTTACCATACCTTTGTTTTTCATTATGTAACACTTATACAAAAAAAATATCATTTTGCATCTTTAAAGTTTTATGAATGGAATCATACTGCATGTATATTTCTATGACTCTTTGCTCATCATATTTGTTAGATTCAGTAATTTTCACTGCTGTGTGCTATTCCTCTATATAGGTATGCCACACTATTTATCCACCCTACCTTTGATGGGCATGTTTCATTTCCAGATTTCTTTGTTACCGCAATGATGTTAAGTGAAAGCAATGTCACTGAATTTGATGACAAAGTGTTTTAATGAAGTTTAGCTCTGATGAAGCCAGTTGGGGTGAAGCTAGAGACTTCTGGAGGAGAAACAAAAAAGGTCAGAAAAAAAATCCCATTTACCCCCCACAAACATTTAGGACTTTCTTCTGACATTGTAATAGAAGAGAAAAGGAATTTTATCTTCTTCCCTAATACTGCATCCACGAACCGTTCTCTATTTTCATCTGCCATTTCAGGTCAGAAAAATAGTTAAAAGAAACTACAGATTTTAATTTCAAAACTACCAACTGCAACAAAGAATTCAGATCCCACCTAGGAAATGGAAGCTTGGTTTTGTATACTTAGAATATAAGAAGTGCAATGATCACTTTTGGAAATAAGACAAGTAGTTTTCCAATAGACTATGTAATCTCAAACACGTTCCTTGCCTTGCCTAACCTGTAACCTAGGACATCTGATTCCCTAATTCTGAGATCTGATCAAATCTACCTGCCTCTACATGTGGGAACTTAATCTAGGGCTTTCCAAGTTATCTGCACTAGTCCCCTTAACATCACAGAAGAGTGGGAGCCTAACTCAGGCTGGATTTCTTTTTTTTTTTAATATATTTTTTTAATTGATTTTTTACAGAGAGGAAGGGAGAAGGATAGAGAGTTAGAAACATCAACCAGTTGCCTCCTGCACACTCCCTACTGGGTATGTGCCCACAACCAAGGTACATGCCCTTGACCAGAATCGAACCTGGGACCCTTGAGTCCGCAGGCCGATGCTCTATCCATTGAGCCAAACCGGTTAGGGCTGGATTTCTTTTTAAAATATATTTTTATTGATTTCAGAGAGGAAGGGAGAGAGAGAGAAGCAATGATGAGAGAAAATTATTTATTGGCTGCCTCCTGCACACCCCCTACTGGGTATGTGCCCTTGACCGGAATGGAAACCTGGGACCCTTTAGTCTGCAGGCCAACACTCTAGCCACTGAGCCAAACTGGCTAGGGCTCTTTTTCTTTCTTTTTTTAAACTTTAAATTCCTTTTTGTTTAAAGTATACATATGTCTCCTTTTCCCCCCATTGACCTCTCCTCAGCCACTCCCACTCCCATTTTTTTCTTTTTAAAAGTTATGCTGAGTCCTAGTCGGTTTGGCTCAATGGCTAGAGCATCGCCCCCGCAGACTGAAGGGTCCTGGTTTTGATTCCGGTCAAGGACACAAACATCAATATTTCTCTGTATTTCCTCCTCCCTTCCATTCTCTCTAAGAATCAATGGAAAAAATATCCTCTGGTGAGGATTAACAAAACAAACAGAAAAACCCATAAAAAAGTTATGCTGATTTGCATTCTTCCCCATAAAACATCTTTGATTCATTATAAAATATCTAAATTTTTGGCAGATAAGTTGTAAATCTTTTTATGCATCTTAAATTTGATGCTCCAAGAAAACGTAATAACACTATTTTGTCGGTAAGGAAACTGTGGATTATTACCACTTATTATTATCAAAGCGCAGTCACAATTTCCCAGGTATATACAGTCGCTGGTAGTCAGATAAACTAACACATATCAAGTTAGACAACACTGTACTGTTTTTCAATCCCAGGTGGACAGCGATCCACTTTCATAATCACCATGGTATGCACACAAAAGAAATTTTAAAAAATATCTTACAAATATTACTCATCTCCAGTTACTGATATTAATAGGACCACACAATGTGACAGACTTCCTCACATCTCTCAGTCCTACAGAGAACTTCGCATAAATCCCCACGGTCACAACATCCGTTCACGACCACTTACAGCTGCTTTCCAACAGTGGCATAAATCTCTAACAAAAACTGCCTTACCCCTAAGGAAATACAGATTCACAATGGCAGAAACTATATACCATGCGTATAAATAACTCCACTCAGGGTCCCAGACAACGAGTTGGACCCACAAATTCACGAGAACAAACAAGACGAGCCATCCGTTCAAACGCCACACCTGCTCCAGTCGCTGGTACCCAAGTAAGCTCGTGGCCCGCTTTACCTGGGATGCCCCGCTCACCGAGGGCTAAGTCCCTGGCCATCCTGCACTCCCATTTTTGCCTTCGCTGAGAACCTTTTAATTCACCCTCAGCCTCACCAAAGACACCAGAGCCGCCAGGCTCGCCCAAGCCGAGAATGGCTCCCTACGGCAAAGGCTAGCTCTCCAGGTGGGCGTCGGAAAAGCGCCTCTGACAGCTGCGCCGAGTTGCATCCTGGGAGCCTTCTGGAGGACCCCGTTTCCCGGACTTCGTCGGCTGTGGACTACATTTCCCAGAAGTCTCCGGGCACAGGCCTGTTCAGGAAGAGTCAAGTGTGCCTGTGGAGAGTGTTTGGGAGAGCTGGGCTCCCATAAGCTTCTGGGCCCAAACTATCCTCGGTCTTTGGGTTCCTTTCCGTTGTCCCCGAGTTCTTGGCCTCTGCGCGGCAAGTTGGTCGCGTGCCAGCGCCGGCCGAGGGTGGGGGGCTCAGCAGACTTCACGGAAGCGGGACTGGAACGGGCAGCGACGGTTGGGTGACGCCGGGAGGCGGTTGAGGTGAGGCGGCCCCTCGGGCACCGGGCGAGTTGTGTCGGGAGCCGCAAGCCCGAGTGAGAAGGACGGCGCGGGACAGGCGGCGGGACAGGGCGCGGCCTGTCTGGGTAACAGGGTGATGGGGTGCGGGCCTTTATTTGGAGGTGCGGTTCCCTTTGGCTGTGGGCTCTCAGTTCCCTCCGGAGTCAAGCATGGCAAACTCCAAGGCTACACGGGCCAAATAAGGTGTAAGTTTGTGTGGGCCGCAAAAAAACAAAAGCTCCAATGTTCATAGAACGTAGGTTTATTTCGATAGAGACATGCTGAATATAAAGGGCTGAAATAAATGAGTCATCGTTAACATAAAATAATAGAACACCTTAATAAAAATTAATATTTTTTCTTGAACACTCACTTACCAGACACCGAATCACTGCACAAATTAAGCGAATAAACCTATTTTTCTTGTTCTTTGAAAGCAAAATGTTTTCTGTTGCGCACACCAAACAAGGCAGTATAAGACGAATGACGTGGCCATCAGCTGCTAAAAATGTTCACAGCTAGTGTTGGTGGGGAGAAATGGTGCGCCTGCGTGTAAGGCGCGTAAGGGAAACGAATGCAACACGATTGTGGTAATAAGTCATTAGTGAATGCTGTGATTTGTTATTAATAACTAGAGGCCCGGTGCAGGGGGGGTTGGTACCCTCAGCCCAGTCTGCACCCTCTCCAATCCGGGACCCCTCAGGGGATGTCCGACTGCCAGTTTAGGCCTGATCCCAGGGGATGGGCCCAAACCAGTAGTCAGACATCCCGCTCACAATCCTGGACCACTGGCTCCTAATCGCTCACCTGCCTGCCTGCCTGGTCGCCCCTAACTGCCCCCCCTCACCCCTGCCGGCCTGATCGCCCCTCACTGCCTCTAAGTGCCGGCTTGATAGCACCTAACTGCCCCCCCTGCCGGACTGATCGCCCTTAACAGCCCCCCGCTGCCGGCCAGGTTGCCCCCAACTGCCCTCTCCCTGCCGGCCTGGTCGCCCCTAACTGCCCCCCCCAACCCCCGCGGGCCTGATCGCCCCTCACTGCCTCTAAGTGCCAGCTTGATCACGCCTAACTGCCCCCCCTGCCGGACTGGTCGCCCTCAACAGCCCCCCACTGCCGGCCAGGTTGCCCCCAACTGCCCTCCCCCCCCCCCGCCAGGGGGGGTGCCCCCAACTGGCCCCCCGACTGCCCCCCCTACTGCCTAGTTGCCCCTCACTGCCTCCACTGCCAGCCTAATCACCCCTAACTGCCCCCCTCTGCTGGCCTGGTCCCCCCACGCAGCCTGCTGTTCAGTCATTTGGTCGTCCCTCACTAACCCCCCTGCCAGCCTGGTCGTAGGCAGCCATCTTGTGAGGGCATGAGGGTTAATTTTCATATTACCTCTTTATTATATAGGATTATATATAACAGGATATTGTAAAAATTAGGTTATGAAATTTTTATTAAAACGTTTCTTACATACCGTTATATTGGCTGGGCCACAAAATATTCATTGTGGGCTGCATGCGGTCCGTGGGCCGTGAGTTTGACATGCTTGGTCTAGACTCTCAGGTCCTGAAAAGTTAAATGACCCCAAGAGAAGAAGCCCTGCACTAAGCCCCAGCCTGAACGTGTCAAGCAGGAAGTAGACTTGGGATGAGTACTTTACATCTGGAGGTGTCCTCGTGACAGGCTCCCAGGAAGACATGAGGGGGGAGGGGTGTCCCAGGTAGGGTTCCTAGAGGAGGCACCCCTCGTTGCTCCTTGGGGGCCAGCTACATGCTTCCGAGCCTCAGTTCCCAAGAATTGCTGTCAACTCAGATGGAGTCCAGCCTCCCTTTAATTCGACTTGCTTATATGTGGATGAAAGCAGATGTGGCCCTAGGGGGTGTTTTGGTTCTGCTTTCCATTTTAATTTAACTCTGTCTGCTCCAAGAAATGCTGGTGTCAAATGATTCCTCTTCCCTCCCATTGCTGTCAGGTTTCTAAGAAGAACCCTGAGGAGGAGGAAAGAAGAGTTGGATATCTGGGAATTGAAGTTCAGGTGGGTTTGTGTTCTTTTATAGTCATTCAATTACTTTTGCTTTTAGATCATGAGAATATTTGCTTTCCTTGGCCTGAAATATCTTGACTAGTAGGGTCTCTCATGGGTCTTCCTTCTGGCGAGGGACCCACCACGCTGGTGCGCCCCCGTTCCCAGTGGTCCCATAGTGTCCTTTTCTTCAGCTAATGGCCATCTGTTCACATGGTGAATTGTTCAAATCCTTCAGTGCATTCTCCCTTTCTAAGTGTTCTGATCGCATTGAAATACACCTCGTGGAGCCCTAGCTGGTTTTGCTTAGTGGACAGAGTGTGGGCCCTCAGACTGAAGGGTCCCAGGTTCGATTCCAGTCAACGGCTCGTACGTCAGCTGCAGACTTGATCCCCAGCCCTATCGGGGCACGTGTGAGAGGCAACCAATTAATGTGTCTCTCTCACATTGATGTTTTTCTCTCTCTGTCTCTCTCTCTCTCTTTCCCTTCCACTCTCTCCAAAAATCAATGTGAAAGTATCCTCGGGTGAGGATTAACAAAAAAACAAAGGAACAAACAAAAAAGAAATATACCTCGTGGCGATAACTGTTAGAGCTTTATTTTAGCTGATGATTACTTGGAGAGGTTAGTATTCAGGTAGATAAACTATTTTTTATCTTTTCCACAGTCGTGATTTTCAAAGCTCAAGGCAAGGGAAGAGGGAATTGTTAGTTTCAGTTAATAAATTCCAATGTTTGTGCCCGGCCAGTGTGGCTCAGTGGTTGAGGATTGACCTATGAACCAGGAGGTCACAGTTCGAATCCCTGTCAGGCACATGCCCAGGTTGTGGGCTTGATCCCCAGCAGGGGTTGTACAGGAGGCAGCCTATCAATGTTTCTCTCTCATCATCGATATTTCTATCTCTCTCTTCCTTTCCCTTCCTCTCTGAAATCAACAAAAATATATTTTAAAAAAAATTTCCATGTTGTGATGCCTTTAGGAGCAGTGATGTGCTTTGAGCTTTGAGCATAGGGCTTTGCAGTGTGCACCAACAAGAGCAGAGACTTTCAGATAATCTTTTAGTAGAAATCTGTAACATTGCTAAGCATAAATTGTTTCAGGTCCAACTTTTCTTTTTTAAAATATATTTTATTGGTTTTTTACAGAGAGGAAGGGAGAGGGATAGAGAGTTAGAAACATTGATGAGAGAGAAACATCAATCAGCTGCCTCCTGCACAACCTCTACTGGGGATGTGCCCGCAACCCAAGGTACATGGCCCTTGACTGGAATCGAACCTGGGACCCTTCAGTCCGCAGGCCGACGCTCTATCCACTGAGCCAAACCAGTTAGGGCTCAGGTCCAACTTTGTGTAGGCTGTGAGAGGCAGGCAGTACTGTGTGTGGTTAAGAGTAAGGCTCTGGATCTAGAGCACCAGTGGCTCTGCTGTTCTAGCTGCGTGAGCTTAGACAAATGATTCTGGCTCTAGGTGCCACATTGACAAAATCAGGACAAAAAAATACCTAACTTATGGGGTTGTAATGATGTGAGGTGAGCTAATATGTATCAAGCTCCTTAGAACAGTGCCTGCCCCATGATAACGGCTTGGTAAATATTAAGAGCTGCTGTTATGTGGTGATTCTGGATCTTTCCCAATCAACTCCTTATAGATCAACATATGAAGAGAAATATGAAGATGATTGTGGTGGATACTTACAAGTTTAAAAATGTGACCAGATGCTCAAATGGTAAGGTAATAGAAGGAAGAAAGAGGTCTTTACCGCAGGTCTTATTCCAGATGACCACAAACAGTTTGAAATTGAAACATAATTTTGGCAAATATTTGTAAATTTTTAAAGTGGGCACAATGTCTATAACTTAATGAAGTTATCCAGCGCACATGACTTAAAAAATATCTAGCTCCATTGGCCTGGAATAAAAAGGTATAAGAGCTAGGAAGGAACTTGTAGAAAATTAGTGTCCAGTGATAATGGAAACAGGTAAATTTCAGTATTTCCTGTGGTATAATAATATTCACCTAATAAAAATTATGTTTATAAAGAATCAAAAGAAAAAATGTAAATGATAATATTAAGCAAAAGTTATAGCTATGAACAAAAGTACTCAAGAATATTAGGAGCGCTATGTGAATTCCATTAGAAAAGACAGGATTTTGAAAGACGTTTTTCAAGGATCGTATCCAAAATGTTGTTTTCATCATTCATTCAGTGAAGAAGTTAGGTGTAGCCACACTTGTCCAGCATCTGCTTTGTACCAAACACGTATGTTTTTGTTGTGTTTCTGCTTATGTGTATATATTTTCTTCCTCAGACTTTGAAGGTGACTTACATAATTCGAGTTCATTGACCGGAGAATCTTGACAGTGAAAGTGTCTCATTGTAGTGATGAGCTACAGCCCCGGGATGTTCAAGAGCTGGTAGGTGTAATTTGTTTCAGGCCCACTGATTTTCAGTGTTGGGCTTTTTGTTTCGTTTTCTTAATGACTGCAATATTTTACATTTGATTATGGAATTAATACAGGTTTGTGACAAAACAATTGCTTAATCCAGGAAACATATAGAGAATGAGGTAAAAATTATATCTTCCTACTCATTCTTAGTATTCCAGTGTGTGTGTTTTGCTTGTTTGTTTTCCTACAAGCCTGTGTGTCTGGTTTTGTTTCTGCAGAATAAAGTCACATTATGGTGATATAATTGATTTGAAGACTCTCTAGCTTTTAGTTGGAAATGAAATAAAAGAGGGGTAAGAAGTGTAACAGGTGGTTGCACTGAAGATTAAGAAAAATCATATAAAATGGTGTACAATAATTGCTTAAAATACATTTTAGCCATTGAATAACCCCCAGACATGGCTTTTATTTTCATCTTTATTTAATCTTGAGTATGTAGAAAGAGGAGGGAAATGCCAGTGATTCTTTCATTTGAAAAATTTCAAATATTTACAGCTTTTAGGACTAGTATAGAAATGCTATTTAGAAATTGATTACCAGAGCAATGAAGATGAACTTAAAGGTTACTTCCACAGAGAATAGCAATAATCTCTAATGTTTTACAAAAATCTATTTTACAAATATTTCCAGGACAGATATTAATACCAGGAGGTAGAATAAGGAGGTTATAGTTTTAAATATTCAAATAAGCCACCAATTTGCACAGAACAACCCGATTGAGCCTCTGGTTAATGTTCCCAGATTGACACCTCATTGGGTTATATTTTCTGAGCTAGCTTTGCAGTACCTAATTTGTCTCTCATCTGCAGCTTCTGGAAGGAGGGAATATTTTTTTTGGTATCTTTTTAAGAGCCTGCTTTGCTCATCTTGTTATTTAGGAAGAATAGCAGGCTTAGGGCTGGGCTGTGTGATTTAGAAATGTAAGAAAGCAGGCCTGAGAAGCACAGATTTTATCATGAGAAAAATTCCAAGAATGGTATTAACTTTCTTGCATTAACTTTCTCACATTATTACAATGTAATAAGGGATAAGTAATCTTTTTCATTTTCACTAGTAATGGCTAAAACTTATATTAAGCAATGATCGTACACCATTTTATGTGGTCTTTCTTATTTAATCTTCAATGCAACCATCCGTGGTAGACACTTTTTACCCCTCTTTTATTGAATTTCTCAACAGAGGTGTTGAGAAATTGGTAACCATCAAGTTCAAGTTTGACATCAGAGTCTTTATCTTAATTTCACATACACTTCACACCTTATGTATCTTTTAAAAAACCTGCTTGCCTCACTAAGAAATTGACTATGTATGTCTTTCTTCATCAATTAATGTGGCCCATTACCTTCACAATCGTGAAGGTAGAATGGGCCATAATTTACTAAGCCTTTTGCCCAGTATTACATAGTTTCTAATTCTTGGTTATCATAAATGATTTTTGGTTGAATATTCTTATGTTTATATCTGGTTATTTCCCTAGCTATTTAAGGATACATTTCTAACTGGAATTTTGGGTAAAAATGTGTCCCAAATGTAAGACCCTGAGATAGTAGTACTTGGGCAGTAATATAATGACTAAAAGACATAGTTGTTACCTTTAGGATAAGAAAAACAAAATATGTTTAGGAATAAGTAGGGCAGTCAGCAACAAAGGCCAATATGCAATTCAGATAACCTATCTTAGGAACTCATAGTAAGGTAATTGTAAGCAATACTGTTAAGTTATACCAACTTTGTGGAGGCAAATGGAATATAGCCTGTGAGTTTCATACTATATAGTTTTTATCCTGCTAATATTAGTTGCAAAGTAAGGCTATAGGATCAGGTGATTCAGCATTTTCATGGAGGGTATCATGTCTAAAAAGACAAGTTCAGATACAAAATAAGCCCATTTATCAGAAGACATGAAAAGTAGCAGGGTCAAGACCTCTCAATATACCCTTGAGATTTCTTTGGGAATTTCAGCCATTTTTTCTAGGGAAAGAAATCATATAGTTAGTATAATGCATGGCCATCATTACAATAATTATGCAGAATACTAAACTAAAAGGTCATTATGGTCATACTACATTACTATATACTAGTGGCCTGGTGCATGAAATTTGTGCACGGGGGGTGGGGGGGGGGTGTCCCTCAGCCTGGCTGCACTCTTTCCATCTGGGACCCCTCAGGGGATGTCCGACTGCCGGTTCGGATATCGGGCCTAAACCAGCAGTCGGACATCCCTTTCACAATCCAGGACCGCTGGCTCCTAACCGCTCACCTGCCTGCCTGCCTGATCACCCCTAACCACTCTGCCTGTCGGCCTGCTCGCCCCCAACTGCCCACCCCTGCCGGCCTGCTCACCCCCAACTGGCCCCCCTGCCAGCCTGATCACCCCCAACTGCCCTCCCCTCCTGGCCTGATTGCCCCTAACTGCCTCTGCCTCGGCCCCACCACCATGGCTTCGTCCAGAAGGACATCTGGAAGGTCTCCCGGAAGGTCTCCTGGTCTAATTAGCATATTACCCTTTTATTAGCATAGATAGCTATATAACTTTCCAGTTTTTCATCTATTGATGTCTGACCGTCAGTCTTTCTGTATTGATATATACATATTTAAAAATGTAGTTATACTATATACATCATAACCTATTTTTTTCTATTGATAATAGATCTTGATTATTTTCCCCAACTTAGCACAGTTTCAAAGTGTTCCATTGCATGGATGTTCTGAATGCATTAAAGTCATATTTTGGGGGCACAGGCAATTACCTGAACAATTGTTTGTATGTCCTGTCTGCTCCTATGTCTTGACCAATTTTCTAAAGTCCTAAGCCCATGAAGAATGTTCTAGTCTTGGACCATATGGGGCATTCTCAGCCCCATATGGTCCAAGACTTTGGGGGGGAATGGAAAGTGGGGAGGCCTGATCTGGGGGAGGACTGAGTGGTCCAATCTCAGGGTCATAGCAGCACCCCCAGAATGGGCTGTGAAAGAAACCTTTCTGCTGAAGGACCTGCGGATTTTAGGTGAGAGTTTAGATTCCACATATGGTGTGTGGGGTGTGGATTCATTTGAGTCATGATGGGATCAGTTAAGCACACCTGGTCTCAAGCTTCCTTTTCCTTCCCCAGCTCTGGCTTTTCTGGACTCTGTGCTTCGCCAATGGAGGAACCCCATGGAGCACTAATTAGTTCTTGCAATTACGGAACCATGACTGATGTAAGTTGGTATTTCTCTCTACTTGGAATACAGTGATTTTTAGTTTATGCGAATCTTTTCCTTAATTATACTAAAGCCTTCTACCTAACAGACCCCCATCCCTGAACCCGCTTCTCAGTTCCTCCTATTCCAGTGAAGGATGGCACCAAATTCCCTATGCCCTCCCGAGCTGCCTTTTCCAGTCAGTCATCACACTCATTCAGCATCTACTGCATGCTCAGCCTTCTGTCAGGAACAGTAAAGAATAGAGTCTTTTGTGGGAAGTACTTGAGCTTCTGTCAAAGAATAGCTCTTTTACTTGTATAAAAGGAAAAACCAATAGTAGATGGATTTATCTATCAAAGCACAGATGGGATTTATATAAGAGAAGGATGAAAAAGGAGAGAATGAAAGACTGTAGACATTTTGGAAACGACAGTTTTCCCTTTTCTGCTAAGATGCTGATTGGCAGGAGCTAGGAAAGAAGCCAGTCAGGATGCTGTTCCCTGACAGCTGGACGGCCACCAAGAAGGCAGTTTCGGGGACACGTCCTCTGGAAGAGCTTTGGTGTGTCCCTGTGGCATGTCCTCGGCAGGCTGTCTCGGGTGGTGCCCTTGTTATCACCTCCACCTTCGTGCCCCCAGGCCTGCACCGTTTCCCTTATCAGAATCTCTCCTTCCCTTGTCAAGTCTGTGTATGATGAGTTAGTGAGGAGGGTCCCAGTGGACCACACAGGAGCGCTTGGAACTTCTTCACAGACCTGAGTTTTCCAGAAGGTTCAGGTGGGATTTGGGATTTCTTGGTCTCAGCCTAAGTTATGTGCAATCATATGCTTTTCAAGGCTTTCAGGATTAGAGGGGGAGTGAGTGGTTCTTTCCAGGGATTCCCTAATTGATGAACACCAGTATTCAAGTCCATTTTGTCATTGACCAGGACATGCAGGTCTTGGGCAACATCTGTTAGGCACAGTATCCTCCAATTTGGGATTAAGGAAGGTGTTAAGCGATGGGCGGTTAATGATAACAAGATGATCCAGCCCCTCAGGTGTGGCTCAGAGGTTGAGTGCCAACCTGTGAACCAGGAGGCCACCATTGGATTCCTGGTCAGGGCACATGCCTGGGTTGCTGGCTCAGTCCCCAGTAGGAGGCTTGCAGAAAACAGCTGATCAATGATTCTCTGTCATCATTGATGTTTCTATCTCTCCCTCTCTCTTGCTCTATGAAATCCATAAAAATACATTTTAAAAAATATTTCCCAAAGAAAAGATGATCCAGATTTTAAGTATGATTCCAAGAATTAAGAAAATCTTTAGAAATTTTGTTTAACCTAAATATGTAAACATAATATTTATTAATCTCATATATCCAAATGATGAACTGAATTGTAGCTAATAACCCATTTTATGTATTCATCATAATAAACAATTATTTTGATGAAATCTAACAGAATGATTTACTTGAGGCTTAATGATAATTTTTAATGGAAATCATATCTCTGAAATAGAGACTTTATAGTGTGTTTTTGGGGAAAAATTTCATCTCCATATTCCTTAAAGGGAAAAGATGGTATAGCAGTTCACATTTATAAAGAATTATGAGGCAGGCACATAGCAGGGTATGTGTATGTATACCCATAAGCCTCCCTTTCTCCCCTCCACTATTTTTCTTGAATAGAAGAGTAACTGGGATTTTTAAATATATTATCAGACAGGTCTGGAGAACTGACTTATCTCATAGTATCCTGGAAGTTTTTTCTGCTCTACCAGGATTCTTCTAGAACAGCGGTTCTCAACCTGTGGGTCGCGACCCCTTTGATGGTCGAACGACCCTTTCACAGGGGTCGCCTAAGACCATCCTGCATATCAGATATTTACATTACGATTCATAACAGTAGCAACATTACAGTTATGAAGTAGCAACGAAAATAATTTTATGGTTGGGTCACAACATGAGGAACTGTATTTAAAGGGCCAGAAGGTTGAGAACCACTGTTCTAGAACATGTAGACATACTGCTTTAGTCATAATAATTTCCTTACTTTTTCCTACCTGTGTGTATCACAAGCTTCAAGCTTCCTTCATTGTCATATTTTTCTCTTCTTGCAGTTTATCCTTCACAATCTTTTTTTTCCCCTCTTGGAAATATTTTCTTAAGTTATTTAATTTCATAAGTAACGTGTGGGTTTTTGGTTTTAGGGCTTGGTGACTTTCAGTGATGTGGCCATCCACTTCTCCCAGGAAGAGTGGGAGTGCCTGAGCCCTGCTCAGAGGGACTTATACATGGATGTGATGTTGGAGAACTACAGCAACTTGATTTCACTGGGTAAGGTCATCCGCCTGAAATAATCCAGAATCTCCTCGCTGCAGCATCAGCTTTCTTCACTGGGAATCACAGGGCTGCCTTTGAAGAAACCAGATGAATTTCTTTTTCTGTTCTCAAAGGAGTGGTCTGATATTTGTTGGGTTAGAAATGGGTTCATTGAGCACCCTGATCTTCCCACCCCTCAGTGAGCTTCCCCCCTTCCTCTGACCCTTCCTGCAATGAATGGCCTCTCTTTAATGACCAAGGAGCTGGATTTGTGTGATGGGGCATTCATTTCATAACCATTGTCAGAAAAACCAGGTTTCATACTGTGTTTAATTTCAACATTTCTGTAAATGAGCTGTGTCCTTGCTACTGCAAGTGTGGTTCTTTTGTTTGAGGAACCATAAGAAGGCCAGAGCAAAGTAGTGAAGGAGAGAGTATCGGTAATTAGTGAGGAAGACAGGCAGGGCCCAGATGATACGCAGTTTCGTTAGTTTGGGGAAGGTGGGGCGAGCATGTAGATTGTCTTCTCAGGGATTGGAAGCCATGACTTGGTTTCCATGGGGTTTTAACTTGTTTATTGTTAAGTGTTACACAAGGAAGCAGCATGAGCTTCTTCTGGGGCTGGTTAGAAATGCAGCTTGTCAGGTCCTGCCCCAGACCTGCAGGACAGAATCTGCATTTACAAGATCCCTCGGTGATTTTTACGCACCTTAAAGAAGCACTGCTCTTTGTTCTTTCCTGACCCACATGGAGGTCGTACAGCTAGGAACAGGGTCCTGATACACTCTGGCTTTCAAAAGAGCCTCTTCACTTTAGCTAGGGCTGGTTTGAATGAACAGAATTCATTTCTTACTAAGCAAATGCATTTCTTTACTTACAACAAAGTTAGAGTAAAAAGTTACAATCTGAGCTAACTCCTAAAAATGTCTCATGAAACTTCTTGTTTTCCTCTCAGCAAAGTAACAACAATAACAATAATATTAACAGTTAACACTGTACTTACTATAAACTAGGCTTTTTTTAAGTAGAACACATATATTAACTTACTTAACTTTCACAATGTCCCCATGAGGTAGGTACTGTTTTATTTTTAATATGTTTTTATTGATTTTTTAGAGAGAGAGGAAAGGAGAGGGAGAGAGAGAGAGAGAAACATCGATGTGAAAGAAACATCAATTGATTGCCTCCTGTATACACCCCAACAGGGATCAAATCCGAAACCTGGGCATGTGCCCTGACCAGGAATCGAACTGATGACCTTTCGGTGCACGGGACGACACTCAACGAATTGAGCCACACCAGCCAGGGCACAGGTGGGTACTAGGAATCTCAAACAAGATCATTTTCCTATCTATGTGATGTCATGGTCTTTATTCCCATCATCCTTCTCTTTTCTGAGGTCTTTATCAACATTATTTTTACCTTTACTTTATTGACAGTTAACCAAATATTTTAGCTTAGAGTAGGCATATGTGAGGACATTATTGGAGCAAGAAGGAGAGTCCTGGATGGTTGTGAGGGGAGGGCCGAGAAGTTTTAACCCAGGAAGGCAAAGACAGGAGGGAACCAACATTGCAGGAAACAACCTCACAGGTCACAGAAGAGGAGAAGCAAGAACATCCGGGGTGATGTTTGGAAGGGTTCCTATAAAGGACCAAGGCCTGTAGAGTGAAGGCCCATCACCGGGGAGCAAATTGAAGTCTTAGTTTGAGCTACCAAAGGAACTTCATCTTGATCTCATTCCCACCCTCCTTGTTTTCTTCTCATATTTCCCTTCGATTTCAGTGAGGAGGGTGTGTTTATTGTTTCTCGTATAACCATTTTGCTTATATGTTGGATTCATCACCTTTCTAGCTCTTTTGTATTTATGAGTAAATATATGCATTCATTCATAAAGTCTGCAAATTTTTTGTTTGTTTGTTTTGTTAATCCTCACCCAAGGATATTTTTTCCATTGATTTTTAGAGTAGAAGGGAGGAAAAAGAGGGAGAGGGAGAGAGAGAGAAAGAGAGAGAAAGAGAGAGAAACATTGATGTGACAGAGACACATTGATTAGTTGCCTCCTGCATGCTCCTGGACTGGGGCCGGGGATCGAATCTGCAACCCAAGTACATGCTCTTGACCAAGAATAGAACCCACAACCCTTTCTTGCACAGGCCATTGCTAACCACTGAGGAACACCAGCCAGGGCTGCAAATATTTTGAGTGCCTACTCCCAGCCAGGCATTGCACCATCATGAACAAGATTGATAACTATCCATTCTCATGCAATTTATGTAGTCAGGGAGAAATAAGTAAATAAATAAATACATGCATAAATACAATCTTATAACATGTTTTTTCAGGAAAGGTAAACGACACAAGAGAACAGAAAATGATGGGAATTCATAAGGCTAATTCAGATACGGTGGCTAGAGAAAGTTTTCTTGAATAGACACATGAAGCCTGGGATCAAATTATATGACTATATGGGGGGGACTATACCAATCACAGTCAACAACAAATGCAAAGGCCCTGTGGTTGGAAAGGAACTTTATTGCAGGACCTGTAAGGCCAGAGCAAAATTAGCAGTGGAGCGTGTACTAAGAAATTAGTAAGGAGATAGGCAAGGGTCAGATAATACAGTTTTGTCATTGTTGTTTTAGGAATTTGAGTTGTTTAGTCTTTCACTCTGAATTAGTTCCTGTGTCTTTCCTTGACTTGAATCCCTTGCTCCTTCTGACAGTTACAGGCCAATTGTTTTGTCCAGTGCTCCTCAGCGTGGGTTTGTCTGCTTTTTCCTCACGATTAGATTTAGGTTATGCATTTTTGGCAGAAATATCACAGAATTGATGCTGCATTCTCCTTGCATCCTGTCAGATAGTGCAAATGATTTGTCATTACTGCTGATGCTTCCTTTGAGCAGTTGATTAAGGTTGTATCTGCCGGCTTCCTTCATGTAAAGTTAATCTTTTTTCCTTTAATGAGTATTTTGTGGGAAGGAACTTTGAGACTATTAAATGTTGTATTCCCCTTCAAACTTCCTTTTATTTATATATTGGATTTCTAGTCAATGGGTTGTAATATGCTCGTCCCATTATTTATTTTAAAGCGCAAAATATTTGAGCTTGTTCCAGATTAAACCACTGGGAACCCTGTCATGGGGCTTCTGTGTCCTCTGGTATAACTCCATCACTCTAAACACTTCCTAATTTCTGACAAAAACACATTTCAGGCTTATCTTGTACTTTTCCTGTTTCAGCTTTAATATCAACCACTTTCTACATGGGACAACCAAGAAATTTTAACCCTGGAAGGCAAAGACAGGCGGGAACCAACATGTTAGTCCAGAGTGGTATTTAGAAACCAAAATCTGGGTACTAGGTTTGCTCATTGCTACTGAGGGATGGCTGCTCCCAGGCCCCCTCGGACAGAACTAGAGAATATACTTATTTACCACATATATACGTATACATGCACACACATTTACTTCTATATATTGAAAATCTTGAGTTCACACAGATATCTCCAATTCCAATTCAACACTACAGGTTTCATTTCAACTTACTTTCCGCATTTCTAACTCCCTTCTCTAACAGTGAAAAACCTGGCTTCCTTTATCCTTAATATATTTACTTACTTGATCAAACTCTATGTAACCAGCCTTCCATTACCACCACCACCTTAATCCTATGATTGCCATTCTCATCCCACTTGGGCTATGGCAGCCCATACCAGGTCACACACAGACACTTGTCCTTCTCCTGCTTACATTCTGACTTTCTACATGGGAAAATCCTTTTTATATTGGAACCCCCCTCACATTGACATTCAGTACCCTACTCTGAGTTTTATTTTATTACATCTTGACCCTTGAGTGTGCATTAAGAAAATATTTTGTGTGATAAAATAGGAAGTATTTGTTAAGCTTCTCTGTTGCATACCAAAGTATGATGGTGGCCTTGAGGAAAACCACTTGTGCAGTTGTTTGAATTGTGAGTTAAACTCGCCATTTTTTATGGAGCACCATTTTTTTTCTTGAAAGACTGACTAACACTATGGTTATCCGGACTTAGGTAGTTGGTAAAATTTTCTTGCAAGTGAGCCTGTCATTTCAAGAACAACTATTTGTTGCCAATAATAGAATTCAAACTTTCAAGTAAAAATTAGAATTGTATGAAACTTATGTCCACCATTTTGAGCTTTACAGCTTTTCAATACGTATTTTCTTCCTAATGAGATAGGTGGTAATATTACCATATGATTGTTTTGATAGTGTATAATGAAATGTATCAAATTCTCAAACATCTGCACAACGCAGTGAACCACTATTTTTCGAATGACCAATGTATGATGTTGCAAAATTATGCATGGATAAAAGGTCATTCAAAGTGTAATGGATTTTAATGTAACATACTATGAAAAATTCCTGGGTATAGTTGCATATTCCACATTGTAGTTAACTTTTAAGGAACTACCACTTCTCAAGTTTTACTGTAATATCAAAGAAACACATCCACAATTATCTGAACAGGCTTACAAAATACTAGAGGCCTGGTGCACGAAATTCGTACATGGGGGGCAGGGGAAAAGGGGTGTCCCTCTGCCCAGCCTGCACCATCTCGCAATCCAGGACCCCTCAGGTAGGGTCCCTAAGCCTGGCCGGTGATCAGGGCCTATTGGAGCTTTCCTTCCCCAGGCTGCCGGCAGCTAGCCCCTCCCTCACCGCTGCCATTGCTTGCCCTCTGCGGGTGACAGGTGTGGGGTGCGATCGCTTGGCTGGCCTGGGCCTCCCTCTGTGGGGCGATCGCTGGCCCGCCCTGCACACCCACCACAGTGTCACTGGCTGGTGGCCTGGGCTTTCTTCTACTGGGCGATCGTGGGGCGATGGCAGGGGCCCCTGACCAATTGCATCACACCCGCCTTGGCTGATTTGACACCAGTGCATGTCATAGCATTGTCATCGGAAGGTTGTCCAAACGGCCGTTCTGCTGTTCGGTCATTTGGTCGATTTGCATATTACGCTTTTATTATAGATTATTCCATTTTACAACTGCATATCTGTGGAAGATTGGATTCTTCATATACTTCAACCAAAATAGCATTGCCACAGATTAAATGCAGAAGCAGATATGAGAATCCAGTTGTTTTATTTTGGAAAATATAATTATTTTTCATAAAAATCTATTAACATTCAATGATTTATTGTAAAAAGACATAACCCATATAAACAAAAGTGCTTTTGGGTTCTCAATGATTTTTTAAAAAACATCCAACAAGAAGTTAAACCTATATTCATTTATAAACTCTGTTAAGCCTTACAAAAAACATTCAAGTACCAAGTAATTATAATGCAAGCCCTTAGCTGGCAATTCAAACTTAATTGAACTATTTGTTGATGCTAAGTTGTACAAAACTGTGTTCCAAGCCTGGAGCTGAGCTGGGACTGGGCGATAACTTTCATTAGTTTCAGTTTATTTCTTGTTTCTAGATTTTAAACATCTTTCTTTGCTCTAAACTTCCCACATGACCACTGGTGGCTAACCTCTTTGTGTATCAGGATTTGAGCTGGGTGGTTGTATTACAGCTGTAGTTAGTTGTGTTTCACGTCTTGTTTGGAAATCCAGTAGAGTCTTGGAACTTAATAACTGCTCAAACTGCAAGATTTTGTCTGCTTTCTAGCTCAGCACCAACCACTCAGAAAAATTCCTGTGAGGGAGAATTATCTAGCTTAATGAAGTTGTTTTTAAATGTGAAGATTTTCTAGAATCCAGTTAATCATGCCAGCCTATACAGTCATTAAAAGTTCGGCTGGAATCACACCTGCACACAGAAGGGCTTGACTGATGCTAGGGATTTTAAGGGATCCATCTACACAGGAAGAGGGACTCGTTAAAGTGATTTTTGTCGAATTCTCCAGAAAACTGTCAAATCAGAACATTAAGATTACAGGAGCTGAAAAATCAAATTTGAATTTGATAAGAAGAGACTTGATGCTTAGGAGTTTAGTAAGTCTAATCCAATTCACTTATGGGTATTATTTTCAATTCATCTTTTATTTTTACTATAGAGGGCATTTTTCTGGTAGAGGAAATAAAATGTGTGGTTTTCCTGTTTTCTTTCAGATTTGGAGTCAACATATGAGACTGAAAATAACTTTTCAGGAAAGAACATTTCTGAAATAAGTTTTTCCCAATGCGCAGTAAAGGAAAGAAGTAAAACCCTTGATCTTGAGGCATCCATTTCCGAAAATAATTGGAAGTGCAAAAGCAAATTTGATGAACTACAGGAACATCAAGAGGAATACTTCAGTCAAATGATAATCAGCTATGAAAAAATGCCCACTTACCAAAAAAGTAAATCTCTTATTGCACATCAAAGACTTAATCCAGAGGAACCTGACATTTATAAGGAATGTGGGAAGACTTGTAGTCATGGTTCAAAACTTGTTCAACAGGAGAGAACTCATACAGCTGAAAAACACTTTGAATGTAAAGAATGTGGTAAGGACTTCTTTAGTGCCTATCAACTCACTGTGCATCAGAGATTTCATACTGGTGAGAAACCCTACAAATGTAAGGAATGTGGGAAGACTTTTAGTTGGGGATCAAGTCTTGTTAAACATGAGAGAATCCATAGTGGTGAGAAGCCCTATGAATGTAAAGAATGTGGAAAGGCCTTTAGTCGTGGCTACCACCTTACTCAACATCAGAAAATTCACATTGGTGTGAAATCTTATGAATGTAAGGTATGTGGAAAGGCCTTTTTTTGGGGCTCAAGCCTTGCTAAACACGAGATAATTCATTCAGGTGCGAAAACTTATAAATGTGAAGAATGTGGGAAAGCATTCAGTCGTGGCTATCAACTTACACAGCATCAGAAAATCCATACTGGCAAGAAACCTTATGAATGTAAAGTATGTGGAAAGGCTTTCTGTTGGGGTTATCAACTTACTCGACATCAGATATTTCATACTGGCAAGAAACCCTACGAATGTAAGGAATGTGGGAAGAGCTTTAATTGTGGTTCAAGTCTTGTTCAACATGAGAGAATTCATACAGGTGAGAAACCCTATGAATGTAAAGATTGCGGAAAGGCTTTTAGTCGTGGCTATCACCTTACTAAACATCAAAAAATTCATACTGGTGAGAAACCTTTTGAATGTAAGGAATGTGGGAAAGCCTTTAGTTGGGGTTCAAGCCTTGTTAAACATGAGAGAGTCCATACTGGTGAGAAATCCTATGAATGTAAAGAATTTGGACAGGCCTTTGGTAGTGGGTTTCAACTTAGTGTTCATCAGACATTTCATACTACTGAGAAACCTTATAATGTAAGGAATTTAGGAAGATTTACTCCTGGCTCAGGCCTTGTTCAACATGATAGAACTTATAGTAATGATAAACCCCATGAATATAAAGAATGGGGAAGTTTTTATATGGTCAACTTATTCAATTGAAACAATTGCTACTGGAGAAGAAATGTGAAAACATTATTTTGTGTATGGACAACTTAAACAGAGAAATCTTATTCTAGAGAAAACTTATGAATGTAAGGAATGTACAAAAGCCTTACCTGTGTATGGAAAATTTGGTTGATATTAGGAAATTTATACTAGTAAGAAATATTTTAAATATAAGGAATATGAAAAGGCCTTTAGACTTCTGCATAATCTTATTGAACATCAATGTATATTGATTTGAAACTATTTAAATGAAAGGAATGTATCTTTATTCATGACATAGAGTCTGATAAGCATTGGAGGATTTATACTTATAAGAAGCACTTTAAGGAATGAGGGAAGAACGGAAATTTAATTCAGTTCTTGCTCTGCACATCAGAGAATTAATACTGCTGTGAAATCTTATGAATGTAAGGAATGCACAAAGGTTTATACACTGAGTGGCCAGATTATTATGACCACCCCATCAGTACAATGAAGTGAATTAGTTATGCAAATAATAATAATAATAAACCTTGAGAGCATTTGCTTAGGAAGTTTTCAATATTCAGTATTTGTGGAAGTGTCAATGAAGTACTGATGGAGTGGTCATAATAATCTGCCCACTCAGTGTAGATGTAATAAGCACCTTAGAATACATCAGAGAACTCATCCACATGAGAAACCCTTAGATTAGAATGCAGGAACACCCTTAGACAAGTGCTACTCAAACTTGTCTAGAGACTAGTACTAGTCCACAAAATTGTTACCTGTGCATCATAAGATAAATGCAGAAAAAGAGTAACTGTTTGGAAACATTTATAGCAATTTGATATTGCCATAACATCATTGCATTTTACAAAAGTATCAATTAGTCCATGAATTATTGGAAATTAAAAACAAAAGTTTGCCCTTATCCAGAGATAATTGAGACAGCATTCATACTTTTATAAATGTGACACAAGTTACAATATGATTAATTGGAACAAGAAATCCCTCACTTGTCACCTGATTAGCAGAATATTCATGCTATAGGAAGATTTGGCTAATGTGGGAATCACGACTTCCTTATGCCCATAAAAGCATAGAGAATTTACACCAAGTATGTTCATTTAGTAAATGTATAGAAGGCTTCTAACACTACTCAGTCTTTGTTACATTTTATTTTGAATAATAAATATCCATTATTTCTGTAATGTAACAAAGATAGGAAGACCCTTATCCATGGCACAAACCATACTATTGTCATCACCATTCTACCTCTTACTCCCTGTGGGTTGTTGGACAAAATGTTTATCCCTTTTGGGGATCATCTTTAAAATGCTGGTGATGGTAACTACTTAATAGTACTTTTGTAAAGACTGGATAGATTTATATGCATCAAATCCTTGGAAGAGTGTCTGGTATGTAGCCTATGCTCAGTGCGTATTAGCTGTTGTTCTTATCCTCCTCATTAGTATTACTACTAGTGAATTCTTAGGAGAGGAATGCTCATTGGCATAATGAATTTAGGAAAGCTTTTCATAACCACTTATGAATTTGAGTTTCAGGTAGTTCATTCTGGATAAAATTTAGTAAAACAAAACCTGAGAGGATTTTTATTCAGAATCTATCCCTTAAGCTTCATAAAACATTAAGACTGAAAATAAATGTGGATTTAGCAAGTGTTAAGCTGGGAATATACTTGAAGAACCAGGGAGAGGTGTGAAACAATTTGCCTGAAATGAATTCCAACAGACAGGTAGGCAATAATTATAATTCTTTGTTCACATTTCAAGGTAATTTAGAGATTACAAAGGAAAAAAAAAATGGCCCATTTGAGAATTCTTTCCCAAAATCTTACGACAATTTTCAGACAAGTTTAAAGAATAGTATAATGAATATACTCTTCTCTACCTAGAATCAATAATTGTTAACATTTGGCCATATTTGCCTTTCTCTCTGAATATATGTGTATGTATATTCATGTAGCATTTGACATATATAAGTCATGATAGTTCATTCCTGAACATGTTAGCATGTACCCTTTTAGATTAAGAACAATCTTATTTTAATACCATAGTTATACAAGAAAATTATCAATAATTCTGTAATACTAGTATTCTTTTCTATTTCATATTTCCCAGTGCTCCCAATAATTTATCCTATTGCTATTTATTTTCTTTTTTAAAAAATATATATGTTCTTATTGATTTTTAGAGAGAGAGAAAAGGAGAGAGAGATAGAAACATCAATGTGAGAGGAACATCAATTGGTTACCTCCTGCAGCCCCCTACTGGGATGGAGCCCACAACTTGGGCATTACCCTGACCGGGAATTGATCTGGTGACCTTTTGGTGCATGGGTCGACATCTGGTGCACTGAGCCACACCGCTGGGCACTATTTACTTTCTAACCAGCATCTTCTTTATATTCATGCATTGTATTTGGTTGTCATGTCTCTAGATTTTAGTCTTGAACAGACAGGAAAGCTGTTTTATAGAAAGTACATTCTAGATTTGTTTCTTTCCCCATTAGGAAATAGTGCATTAAGAAAAAAATTGAATCACAAGACTAAAGTCTCACATTGAAAAATGACCAGGATAAATTTTAGGTTAGACCCATAATGGTCAAATATTGACTGCGTAAAAGTTGTTGAATAAATTATAGCTGCTTGTGGAAGGACAATTTGGAGATTTTCTTTTCTTTTTCTTTCTTTTTTTAACCATAACTGACATAGTAAGTACTGAAGATCTGAGTATCACAGCTGATGAGCACAAAGGGACTGAAAGCTGAAAAATAAGCAGCTGGGAATGTACTGATGTTCACCAGTCATGTAAAGTGATAAGACAGAGGAGAGAGAATAAAAGGGAACAAATTAGCTCACCAGAACCAGGACAGTATGATACTGGTCTTTGAGGAGGCACGTTATGACACAATGATGTGGTCAATGGGTGTTTTTATATCCATTATTAGTTCTGGGAACTAAAATCAATTAAATTCCTTTACTGTGGTCTAAGATGAATCTGAAGAGGATTTATGCCTTTTCTCCACACTGCCCAAAGGGATAGCTCTTTTTTTTTTTAACTTTAAATATATTTTTTAAGTACAGGTGACTTACAATATTGTATTAGCTTTAGGTGTACAACTCAGTAATTAGACATTATATAACTTACTAAGTGGTCACCCTGATAACTCTAGTACATATATGACATGATACATACTTATTACAATAATAGAGGCCCGATGCATGAAAATTTGTGCAAGAGTAGGCCTTCCTTCTCCTGGCTGCCAGCACCGGCTTCCCTCTGGCACTTGGGACCCAGGTTTCCCTCCTCTGGCTGCCGGCAGGCACCTGGCACCCGGGCTGGCTTCCCCCTGGCCGCCCACAAGCGCAGGTACCCAGGACCCGGGCTGGCTTCCCCCGGGCCACCTGCAGGCACCTGGCACCTGGGCTGGCTTCCCCCCAGCCCGGGCTTTGTCAGGAAGGACACGTGGTCTAATTAGCATATTACCCTTTTATTATAGACTAGAGGCCCGGCGCATGAAATTCATGCATGGGTACGGTCCCTAGGCCTGGCCTTCAATCAGGGCCATCTTCCCCAGCTGCCGGCCCCACCCCCCGCTTCCACCCACCCCCGGTTCCCCATTTGCCATCAGGTGATCAGAGCCTCCTGGCTGGGGGAAGGGACCAAGAGGTTGACCAGCAGGCCCCATGGGGTGTTAGGGGCCTGCAGGCTGGGGGCAGCTCCTGCATTGAGCATCTGCCCTCTGGTGGTCAGTGCATGACATAGCGACTGGTTGTTCCACCATTCAGTCAATTTGCATATTACCCTTTTATTATATAGGATTATTGACTACTAGTCTGTCCTTTTGCCGCCACTGGGTGCATGACATTCATGCACAAGTGTGGTCCCTAGGCCTGGCCCGCAATTGAAATGTGAGCGTCTGATGTGGAAGGGCAGGTCCCAGCTGACCTCTGGGCCCTGGGCAGCACTGCCCCCTCTCCACCACCACCCCCCCACCCACCCCCGCGTGCTCCCTCCGCCTAAGCCACAGCGCCTGAGTCCCCACACAGAGATGCAGTGAGTGTGGCTGGACGCCGCGGGCTGGGGCGCAGCATGGGCCTCTGCCCAGCGGCACCACACGGAAGCTGGACAGACAGCGCACTCTCTCCCAGTTGGCCTTGCAGACTGGTTCCTGCGTGAACCCACAGGGAGCCCAACCAGCCCCTGCCATCCAGGCGGCTGTGGCCTGGCTCACCGGAAAGAGGCTGATGGGTGCAGGGCGGGCTCCTCACAGGTGCCTGGAACCTGAGTGTGGGGGCTTCCTCAGCATGTGAGCCCTGGTGTCCCAGGGAAGGGTACCAGGGAGAGTAAGAGCGAGCTCGGTGGACACCCCACATTCTCACAGCACCTCTGTCCCCGTCACTCCCCCCCTCCAGGTAGCCGGCGAGAGGTCACAGCCCCCACCTGATGCCACAGGAGATTGGTCGCTTCCACCCACCCCCAGATCCCTGTCCCAGCCCAGGGCCCAAGCCCCAATCAGGCGATCAGGGCCTGCTGGCTGCCGGTCACCATCTGCAGGGGCCATTGGTCGGGGCTGGGCCCCCTGCCAGGCTCCCTCAGCACCTGAGAGCTGGGCAGCAGCTCCGCTCCCCACCTCCGCCACTGGTTGCCATCTGCAGGGCGATGAGCGGGGCGATTGGGCCCCCACTCGCACCCACATTGTCCTGGCACCGCCCGCTTACCTGCTCCACCAACCCACCACAGTCCTGCTCTTGTCAGGGCCCATTGGGGCTGGCAGCACCTCCACTGCCACCCACTGCCAGCACCATGTCGCCGACGCCCACCATGTTCCGCGCCACCCCCTGGTGGTCAGGGCACGTCATAGCAAGCGGTCAAACTCCTGGTCAAACAATTTGCATATTAGTCTTTTATTATATAGGATATTTCCTATGCTGTACACTACATCCCTTGACTATTCTTAGTAGTTCTTAGTCCCTTCACCTTTTCACTTACTCCTCCAACCCCACTC